GGCTATTTGCATGCTAAGGACACCGGGCAGAGCTCGGACTCGGAACCGTCCTCAATACACGGCACATTTGCGTGACATTCCGGCGACTGCCCAAAGAGCCAGCGACAGCTTGATAATTTGTGAGCCTGTTGAGTTGCTAGACGCTTGCAAAGACCTCTCAACTTTATATTATGTTCGGGAAGGTAATAATGCGTTCCCAGTCCCCTTGGCTCTGGTTTGGGCAGGGATCGGCCTGGGTCTTCCCTGGTCAAAGTGCATTGCGGTTTTGGGCAGGTTGTGTTCATTCAATTGTTGCATGTGGCACGGCACTGAAAACCCATAAGCAGTACCCAAGAAGTGAGGACTCCCAAAATTAAACACTGTTGACAGCTCGCACTCACACATAACTTGAACAATTTGAATGCAATGTCCGTGACCGGGTCTGGGTCTGGGACCAAAATAGGGCCAGAGTTTTGTATTATCCATAGCTGCTCAACATGTCAACGGGCCTCCCGTTGACTTGACAGTTGCATGAAATTCTGCCTTTACAAGTATGTTTGTTTCTTCTGGGCATTGTGTTTGCGGTTGCTGCGATTCATTGTTGTTACCAAACAAAAGGCTTTGATTCGATTGGAAAATTTAATGTCTCATTTTATAATTGGGTAATTTGAGTAGCCAGCAAGCGTGGCTGTGATAGCTAATTAGTGCACTTACGTTGACCACCGAATGTTGCCCTTATATCGGACAAAGCAAAAAGTCAATTATGCAGGTTATGGCAAAATTTAAAATGTAAAATGTAATAAAATACAGAAAACATTCTCCGTAAGCAGACCACTTCTTCTTATACACCGAAATTGTTCTCCATTTGTAAAATATTTTTTTCATCAAATTATATAGAGTTGTAAACAAATTAGAATGCTTTTGTCTTGTGAAAGTGTCCAACTTAGAGAAATCCTAAACTTTCGTTTACTGACGACTCAAACATGTTATCGCTGACCATGCTATCAAAGATTTTGGACGAACTTATAATTCAGAAACGAGCAGTGATTTCATCAACTGCGGTTTTTCTTCCTATCCTATGCTATCAAAGATTTTGGACGAACGTATAATTAAGAAACGAGCAGTGATTTCATCAACTGCGGTTTTTCTTCCTTATTATTCAAAACATTATACATACATTATGAAAATTGAATGCTGAAAGCCTAGTTAGATTAAACAATTTTCTAATAGCATCACCGACCGATGGAGGTGTTTTATTTGCCCGTCCGGCCGTGACGCTATTAGAGCCTACAGCTAAGAAGAAGGGTGTAAGTAGAGAAAATAGTGTTCTTAAGTAAAATTAAAAATATTGTTAATTTACTATATAATTGAAGAAAATACAATAAATAGGTAAAAACAAAGAAATAAGTTGTTAATAAATAAAGTTAATAAATGTATACTATATATATAGTGTTAAGTAGATAGGATAAAGAGATAGTGATGCGAAATCACTGGCCCGTTGGGGGAAAATTTATAGCCTGTCCGGCAGGCTATGCCCCTACTCATAGCTTGGAATGGTCAGTAAGTTCCTATAGATATCCTAAAAGCAGTCAGTCATACATTTGTACTCAGACACACACTCATAAGCACATTTTTAAACTCAAGCACAAAACAGAGGATGTTCGCTTAACGTGGTCGCTTGCTCAGGCTTAAGCACAAAAATTACACTTTTTTTTATATTTTTACCTATTCAAAATAAAAAATGGTCAAAAAAATAAGATGTTTTTCCTCGACGACGCTTGAACTAGCTCCCTTTAACCACAGATATTCTGAAATAATTTCTGCGTTTCTTAACCGAACTTGATATTATTTTCAGCAGTAGATGTTATTGTGTTAGAAAATATGCGAATATTTTTTAACATTGAAAATATTTTAAAATGTGGGGTGTAGTTGCAATTAAAATTTATATTTTTTTTATTCTATGGGCGAGGAAATAGGGGAGCAGTCCAAAAAAAGCAATTGCAATTAAAATAGTTATAAACATTCGTTATCTTTCAGGGACATTCAATTCAAATAATATTTTTTAAAAATATTAATTAAAAATTTTGTATGTCAGTTATACTCATCAGAATTTTTGAGCGCAGATCCTATTTCTCTAGTTTTGTAAATGTAACTCAATACTTGTGCCTTCTTTTTAAAACACCAATTTCAGCATAATTTGCGCCAACTTACAATAAAATTTCAACAAGTCAACTAGAATCACTTTATTAACTCAGGAATAAAAACAAAAGTCTAAAACAAAAGAAATACTACATACTGCTGCATACTACATATTGCAATATCTAGAAGGCTAAATATTAAATGATCAATTAACTGATTGGACAATAAAACGTTCGTTGAATAACACTTCTGACATTTTAATGCCTTGTTCGAGTAGTGTTTTTACAATTTCAAACTTTTATCATGATTTTAATATAAGCCCCCATACCCGCACCACCGCCCTCCCAATACAACGACATTCTAGCACAATCAAACGTACAGCCAATTAGTTTTAAATTTGAATAGTCAAAGAACTACGACACAAACTATGCGATAACAACAACAACAAGCACAACAATAACAGATAACAGTAGATAATTTGAATTGAGGAATCGAAAAGCGTACAATCAGCATTGTTGCCACATGCAAGCGGTGCACGTCTTTACTCACACATAAGCGCTCCGTACACATACATAAGAGCTATTGGTGCATGCCCCACTGCAGTGGCAACATTACATATGCCTATGTGTGTGCCTGTGTGTACATTTGCATAGCCAACGATTTTTTGACATGTTGACAGTTGATTTTTCTGACAATTTAACTGGTTTCAATGTAAAATCAGTTTCGAAAATTACACTCAAATGTCGACTGACGACTTTAAAGGAATTTTACAGTCGGCCTCCGTTTTTGTATTTGTTGCTGCTGCCGTCACCACTGACCATCGCGTGCAGTAAATTGTCAAGTGTCTATTCACGTGTGTGTGTGTGTGTGAATGTGTTTGTGTGCGTCTGATTGTCTCAGTTTCAGTTGCAGCACATGATACTATTATATTCCAAAAGTCAGCAAGCAAATTATTTAAATTGTTTAAAAGTTGTAATTATACGCCAAGAGTAATTAGTTTTTGATATTTTTTTCTTACCCACATCAAGTAGAAGGCTAACAACATCCGAAAAAGCAACAATAACAATGGCTGACATATACGAATTAAAAAAGTTCCTGCATACTTTCGGGGCGCTTGCCATAAATGCTGAAAATTCCAGAGATTCCAATAGTATTTTTTTGTACATACAAGCATTTTAATTTGATTTTACTCATTTCATTATCATAATGAAGCTCGTAATTGTAGTTTTGTTCAGATATCATAATTAAAAGAATCCATCTTTAAACGATTAAGCCTTAATAAAGTAATCCGATCTTGATTGTATGTTAGATACGTTGTGAAGATCGTTTATTGCAAAGTTCAGTTTTTTCTTGAATAAAATTAAAGTCAATGGCAATCAACTGTCCGTTTTAATAAGGATAGTTTGATACTAAGAAAGTAAACAACGCAGAAAGTGGAATTTATACTAATTTAGGAACCACACAAATCTTCATCGATAATAAAGAAAATTAATAATATTTGATGGCCGAATAAAATACAAATGAAATACTATAAACTATATAAATAGAGGGATATACATATTTTAAGTACTCAGATATGCTTAGATATCCTTTAATGCATGCGACATGTTGCATAAACTAGTATAACACTCTGTGCACAAGTATACGGTTATACGGCCATCTTCCATAGCCTTGATAAAGTGAGCAACTAGAGCTCCACGCGCCTTTGTCGAGCCCTGCCGAAAATTCTGCTGCAGCTCCGCTTAATTAATTAATGCACTCTAGCAATTTATGAAAATATATCAAAAGCTGACAAGCTGGAAATTTATGTGCCCAACTAACCAGTCGGATAGCAGAGGCAACCTGAAATGGCAGCCGGCGCCGCTGCCAATACAATTTTGGCTCATTTCAGTAGCAGTGGCTGCGGCAGTTGCAGTTGCAGTTGCAGTTGCAACTCGCATGAGCAGCAAATGCAGCGCAACTAATGCGCCTCAAAATTCCTGACTCTGATTCTCCGCTGGCTGGGCGCTGTCACTGGGGCTCCTTTCGCAGTCGCGTTCAGTCCAATGCGATGTGGCACTTGTGAACACTTTAATTATATGGTAAGGAGAGTGAACGAGTCAGCGAATCTCTGAATTGGAGGAGAGGCAGGCGCTTGGAATGGGGCCTGCTGAGGTGATAAAACACTCGATAATCACACAGATCGTTTTGCAGCCGTTGGTTGCCTCTTCAGCGTTTTTCGCCATCACCATCACCATCACCATCGCCATCGCCATTTGCCATCGCTGCATGCAAACATTATAATTTAATTGACAAGATTTATCGCATACGCAATTAGCGTGGCAAATGCTGCCATTGCCGCCGTTTCCGCGTAATTCGGTGGAAGCTGCCGCAGCCGCAGTCGCAGCCGATTTAGACAATTTTTCTGCACAGCTTGCATAAATCTCTTTGGGTTGCCGTTGTCGATGTCGTTGTGTTTCCCGGCCTGGCAATTATGCACATTTTGTTTTAAACGTCGAAATTAATAATTTTCACTTTGGTAATTATGACATGGCCGCTGAAGTGACAACGACAACATCAAAGGCGCAAAAGAACTGCCTTTGGCCAGCCAAGACCAAGTACATTTACCCGATGCCTTTACTGCCCATCTTGCTGCTGTCTGTTGGGCCACGTCTTCAATTGGGCCACAACTTGCGCTTTGCCTTTTGGAATTTTTGAACATCTAGCAAAATGCGCATAAATTCCAGCAACGTGCCATTAGAAAAACCGGATAAGACCAAATTCGGCTAGACAGACACGTGCCGGGAAGAGTACATGCATATGTAGATAAAAAACGCTGCAAAAATTAAGACATTTGATACAAAAATTACAAATTATATTATAATAGAATTTATATTCACAATCCTCTGACTTGTTTGTTATTCGGATATTTAAAATTTTTTTTGTATATTCAAGCTCTATTTTTAATTAGTATCTAATCCGGTCATAAAGTACTTCAATGTTGTATTAATTTGTTAACCCAGCTTGCAACCTCTTTAAGAATATGGGAGGTATTTTATGCATGTTCCTGTAAGTGTCACACATCTTTTGCCACACAGCCGAATTCAGATGCAGCACATGCCGCTTTCTCACGCAAGCATAACCACAAGCTCAGTACATCAGACCTCATCCCCCATCCACTTAAGCCTCATTCGCAACGCTCATAGCCCGAAAACCACAAATGCTAATATTTCTGTCAGAGCAGCTCCACAGCTACGGATGGGGGCAGAAGGGTTTGGGTAGAGTCTGAAAAGCACTTTGGATTTCAATTTGTCCAAAACGAAATATTTCAGCTGAGCACCTTGCAGGTACATTGCCGCTTTAATCCTGTAGATTCCTTAAAAAAAGAAAAAACGTTAAAAAAAAACAGAAAGATACCAAAGCAAATAGATAAACAAGCACAAGGAGCACTCGCAATCCCAGACCCAAGCAGAGCCCGCAGCACGCGCATGTTATCCTTCGAGGCACCTGCTCCGGATCCAGGTTCGGCTTTGACTCTGGCACCAGCTACATGCTCTTTGGTATGCATGAAATGTACGCGCCGCCAAATTTGTTGTGCGGCGAGGCGAATGCGCAAAATGTTGCCAACTATGTGTGCGTGTGTGTATGTATGTATGTGTGTAGCTCTCATACAAAGCTCTACACCCACTTGCACACACTCACGTATACATATATTTTCCAATTCTTATTGCATATAAATTCGGACGTGGTGCGACTGTAATCAACATGGAAGACACTTAACTCCTTGCTTTTTTTACATTTTTTCCTTTTTAAATACTGGCTTTTCTCGTTCCTTCGACTGCACTTGGATTGGCTCATTAATCTTGCTAATGATGCTGCCCAGCAAATTGCATTTCAAACAATGAATAAAACCGAAACAAAAAATAAAAAATACCAACAAATACACAGTTTGAGCCCAGCACAAAATTCAAAATCAGTCAAGCAAAAGCCAAGACAGCGAGTAATGAAAATGAAAATGATAAGAAAATTTCTGCAGCAATGCCCAAGAAAATTCCTGAGAGAATAAAAGCGAGCAGATAGAATATAATTAAAATACCTTCCATCATTAGTTTCGGAAAATGGAAAATGGTGTGCGTGACATTTTCGGGGCGCTGCTGCTGCTGCAGCCAAGCACAAGACTGCGATAAGTGAAAGGACACTGAATGGAGAGACAGCAACAACAACAATCATAGCAAAAAAGAAGCAAGTACTATCGCTGGGCGAGCATCAAAAAAGTTAAATTAAGGCAGCACCCAAAAAAAGGCAGAATTTTCATTAAAATTAGAAACAAATCAATATTTTTTTCTTTGGTAAAAAAACAGGAGCTAAAAGCGAATCAGAAGTCGAGCAAAACAAGAAACAAGGATAATTAATGATTTTTGTGTGTTTATCTGGCTGCAGGAGCCAAGGAGATGAGCAAAGTGAGCTACTGAGCAAACCCAACTTGGCTGAGTCCTCGTGATGGTCCGGGGCACCAGCGTTGGCTGACAACTTTGGCCATTGTCTGGCATTATCTTTCTGCTCTGCGTGCTTGCGTGTGTGTGTGTGTGTGTGTGTGTGTGTGTGTGTGTGTGTGTGTGTGTGTGTGTGTGTGTGTGTGTGTGTGTGTGTGTGTGTGTGTGTGTGTGTGTGTGTGTGTGTGTTGGTTGGTGTTACTGTTGGTGTGTATTTGTGTGTAGCCAAGCACAAAAAGGTAAGTGGGCAACAACTTGCAGCCACATTTGACCAGGACGCGCGGCAGGACATGCGCCTAATCTTTAAATTCAAATCTCATTTTCTGAACGAGCTCTCTCCCGTTCCAACTGAACCACCATCCCACCCTGCACGCTCAGTTGTTTTGCCTTTGCCCTGTTTTGTAAATTAAGAGCAGCGAGTTGACTTTTTTGTTGGGCCACGCCGAGTTTGTCCTATGGCCCATTGTTTGATTACAATTTAACATTTCGTGACTGAGGCCTGAATGAAGGATCTATTTGTTGTCGCGTAATCTTGTGCAATCACTACAAAACGGCAATAAATCAGGATTATGCGAATGTGGCGCGATGTGTGCGATATGCCCAGGCCTAAAGCCAGAATCAGAACCACAGCCAGAACCAAAGCCAATGAGTCTGAAAGCGAGTCCTCGGCTTCCACATTCCCAGCACCTTTTCTGATGTTGTCTCCCACCAACCCTCCTCAAAACAGGATCTTGGCAAGCCTGCGGCACATCCCCTCCACGCCCATCGCAGGCCATCCCGTCGCAATCGCAATCGCTTTCGGGCAATGTGCGTGCGGCCGCCGTGCCATGATTTATGTTTGTAAATTTGAATAATTTATAATTAAAAATGTTTTGCATAGAGTTTGGTTACTTAATGTCGTTGACTTCGGCTGCTTTTTGTTATTGTTTTTTTTTTTTTTTTTTGCTAATTTGCCTTTCTCTCACATTCTTTTCTTGGGCTCGTTCTCCACTTTGGTTACGGGCTTTAATTGCTTTTATCCTTTTGTGTCCTTTGTTTCCTCGCATTGGCTGACATTTCCGCTACTGCAAGTTCCTTTTCTTAACTTTTTTTGTTTGCTGATTTTGTAATTTGGTTAGAGCCTTATGGCTTTTAATTTCCTTTGCTGACTTGTTCTCTTTCTCTGGCTCCCTTTCGCTCAATTTATCATTTAGTTTTTGGTAAACAATTTGGGCTAAGGAGAATAATAAATAGATACTACACGAGAATTAATGTAGCTTCTGGACGCAATTGTTTTCCAAATTTTCAAATATAATTAATATGCCGGCAAAGTTAAAATACAAACATAAAAATAAAATGATTTTCAAGCACTCTACTATTAACCTTGTTGACTGTCAATATAATCAATCTCAGAAAAGAAAGGGATAAGGCCTGAGCAGTCAACCAGGCTTGGCGAAATATCATCTAAGCCAACTGTGTTGTAATAAAAATGTTTGCTATTTTTGATTCAATAAAATAAACAAAAAAAAAAAAAGAAGAAAATAAAGGGTCTAAATATTTTGGAGTCATAGGTTATTTTCAGTTAAAATTTGTAATTTTTAATTTAGAAGATTTTTTGGGTGAATTCTGTCGGTTCTGCCGCCTTTTTTCTACACAGCTTGCCTTCCAGCTGATTGGGGTAGACAGAATGCAGGACAATTGTTTTTATAGCTGTAATAAGCTGACTCAATGTTTGCCAATATTTTCTTTAAATATCTTCAAGTCTGTATATTATAAAACTTTATTTTCCCACTTTTACTGATATCATGATCAAATCGGATAAGCGAAACAAGGAGTCTTCTTTGGTAACAAAGAACCTCGTTTTTGTTCTTCAACTGTGCTATTTTATAGACTTTTGCAATTTCTTTAACATATTCTCACCAACCAAAGGCGATTTTTCGGTTAGAGCATCAGCATGAGTTATTTGGCATAGCTCATAATGCTGTCCAGTTGCCCACTTACTCATATCTAATGACTTCTCAATCTGTGTCCCCAAAGTGCGCTCCACGCTTTCAATTCAGCACTTAACGGCGACTTCCGTCCAAGTACGAGCACCAGCTTGGGCTCAGATCAGGGGCCTCTTCATTCATGAGTGGATGGTCAGGTTGCTGGCTCCCAGCAGCAGCCGAACGCATCGGCAGCTCGTTTGGGCTTTGATAAATGCGCTTTTCGGGTATGTAAGTCAGTAGCCAGTTGTCGCAGTCGTTGTCGTTCCACCTGTGGTTGTTGTTGGCGTTCTTATCCCCGCGGACGACGCTTTCTCGTCGCTCGCTGGAAGCGATCTCGGAGCATTGCCTGGCTGAATGTGAAAAATTATTATGCGTTGCTGTGGCTTTGAGCAGTCGCCGCCGACGCCGCAGCAGATTAAATAAATTCAGCGGCCAACAAACGAGCCAGCCAAACCACTGTCCACTATCCACCGAGCCGCTGAGTCGCACAGCCACTGAGCCACAAAGCAGACACATTCAGCTTAATCTCGAAAAAATCCCCAATCCACTGCAGCAAAAACTTGCAAACTCAATTGGAAAAAGCTGCAGTTTCTGGTAGATGCCAGCCACTTTGGGGGGTGTGAAGGGGGCATCACGTAATCCCAGTTGCTCCATCAGTCTTGTTCGATCAATTGCACATGCGCACAGGTTCTTGGCGCGTTTCTCGTTTGCTACTTGGCTCTGGCTCATTGTTTGCAGTTGCTGAAGTTGAATTTTTTGCTCGGCCCGATCTTTGCGGCATTTGCGGCTGCAAAGGATTATGTTTTATTTATGCGCCGCACAGCGAACTTAACTTCAATAAATGCCCGGCAAATATGTGGAGCATGTGTTTCTTGGCAATTTTTGTCGTAAATTTTTATGTTTGATGGCCGTTTGCTCGAGCCCGATTCAGGCCACTTGCAGAGGAGGCTGGCTGACCATTGTCGGCGGTTATGTTCTACATTTCGTCATATTATTTGCAACATTATTGTCAACTGTCTGTCTGTTTGGTTGGCAAAAAGTGATGTGAGTTGGCCCAATAGCCACAGCAACGGCATAAGCAACAGCGCCAACAAGTTGTGGTCCGCTTCCTTTGGCGGCGCATCTGAGAAACGTGACTTTCAATTGCCTGTCGCTTAATTGTGAAATGCAATTACCAATCGCAACATTTAGGAATGACCAAATCTACGCCCACTTGCCAAACCAATTTTAATATGAAAACCCAATTATCGGCACTGCCCATGGGCCATGGTACTGGGCCCGATGCCTGAGTGACGCTTTTGTCTGTAATTGACTGTGGTTTAATTATAAAACGCCTCTTTCTCGATTGGGTTCCATATGCAAAACCACAGTCCTAACTGGGCAGCGATGATTCGGACGAGGAGCCCCGACAGCCGACGCTTCTCGTAATTTGCTAACCCTTGTCGGTTGGCCTGTTTGTCCGTTGGCCTGTTAATTTTACACTCGCATAAAATGCATTATCAATACATTTAAACCATTGTCAGGTTGGCTGTTTTAAGAGTGCTTGCACCTGCCCCTGCCGCTGCTCCTCCAGCCCTGCATCTGCCCCTGCAGCAACAACTCCGATGTCTGTTCCACCACAAAATATTTTGTGCAAAAGCAATTATGATTTTGTCATTCGGCAGTGTATCCGAAAAATACGAGCTCTTTATACGACAATCGAATACTGCTTTTGTGCAATTGTTGTTGTCCTTGTTATTATAGCCATTGTACTTGTATTTGCTGCCGCTCGGAGCCTGGAGGCTTGGTCTGCCAGTTTCTGTTTGCCACTTGCCAAACAGCACTCGTCCCTGATATGAATAGCAAATGCAAAACATTTCTGACACAGCCACTGCGTAATATACAATTTGAGTTATCACGCTCTACGAGGCTTTTAAATGCTTGCATTTTCGCATACGCGTTTCCTATTTTAATTTCTGATTGTCCAAATATATGTTTATATATGTTTCTCTTTCTATCACACCAAATGTGTACAAATTTCGGCTCACCTGTCACCCCAAAATGTTACATGTTTTGTGTTCAGCTGCAGGTGTTTCATCTGTGAGACTCAAATTAGCTTTTTGACTTTGACGTGGCTGGCCACAAGGCACTAACGAAATTGCTGAGCCAGTTGTTATAAGTAGAAGCTGTGATATTTAATACGTTTTTAAAGCTCATATGCACAACAATTCACATTTACATTATTATCTACAAATAATCCAAGGTCTCCTCATGAAATACACGAATAGACATTCCTTAAAGATACATTTCCAGTACTTACCAACAGTTGTAGACTTTCCAACTTTTGTTCCCAGAGAGAAGACTTTACCAAATGGTTCATAAATATTAAAATTATTAAAGTAGTTTTTATTTTATAGATTAACTGAAATGCATTCTGTTCGTACTAGCAATAGGGAAGACGAGCCAACACAAAAATATTATTTTTAGGGGTTGAGCAATCAATAATTTGAATTGAAAGGTGTTTGCACTTATTAACTAAGACGAAATAGAAGCGCATATGCGTATAACAATACTCAAATGTTTTTTTTCTCGAAACGACGACATGCACATTTATATCGGTCGTTCGTCAATTCTTAGCGACAGTTTTCTAGAATGCTCAGAACACAGTTAACATTGATTACATATAATCGACAACAGTTTTTATACCCTGAGCCCATTGAAAATGGCTAAAAAGGGTATTATGTATTTGTGCAAATGTATGTAACTGGCAGAAAGAAGCATCTCCGACCCCATAAAGTATATATATTCTTGATCAGCATCATCAAGAAATCGATAAAAATCGATATCGAAATACTGTTTTTTGAGCAATTTCGCAAATAATATAAACTAGAGTCATCAAACTTGACATGTAGCTTCTAGAATAGTATATATATATAAAGTATATTTTATTTTATACCTATCGACTGTTGGAAGAAGAGGGTTCAGGGTATCCCCTAGTCGGGAGCTCCCGACTAGAACCTTTTACTTGTTTTTGTATTTTTTGGATATATTTATTGAACAGTTTGTATGCATTATTTCTGTATCGGATATAAAAATTTACACTTGCTCACTTGTCCTCTTGCTTCTTAGTTGATCGCTCAGACCCATAACCTACCCTGGCTCATGAATTTTCCTTGATACCTTTTATAAATTTATCCTAAATATTCATAAGTTATTATTAACTTTTCTTAGCAATAAAAAAATATTATTCGAATCATTTAATGATTAAAATGCTTATCAATTAGTTACAAGCCGTAATGACTAAATTAATGAAATAAGATTTTCCCACTTCAAGGAGAAACTGTGACCATTTTCATAGCAATCTTAACTTGATTAATGTTTCCTTAGGTTTTTCAAATCGGCGCTGCGAACAACTCGCAAAAACAAAGCAAACAAACTTTGCTTTATGTATCTTCCCCTCCGAAAATGACTTCTAATTACCAATGTTAATATTAAATCCTTGGGGGGCCTGGACGGCGAAATGTCGCGCAAATCAAATGTGTGCAAATATGTGAAGGACTCGACGCTCGCTTAAGGGTTGCTCGGGGTCAGTCTGGGCTCATAGCCATATAGAGCCGTCGACTGCTTGGTCACCCTTTGAACTTTGCACTAGACCAAACCAGTCATAAAGTTATGTAAGCCACTCAGCCAGGCTCTGGAATTGTGGAACCCAGGCGCACTAATTGACAAAGTGTTAAATTTCATTTGCTGGCGTTTAAAAATGCCTCTCAGGGTTGACATTAAGTAAATTATATTTAATATGTTTATAGACTTGCGTATATGAACTATGGGTATATACAACTCGGTATGAATAAGCATGTGTGTGTGTGTATGTGTGTGTGTGTGTGAGTGTTGTAATTATGTAATTTTCATATGGATGTGATTTAATTACCGTAATGGGATTTGAGCCGAACCTAAGAGACTGATGCGCAATGTGTAATAAAACGCTTAACGTGATGAATGATGAATGAGTCAGCAAAGGGTTCGCTGCCCCTCGTAAGTAGCGAGGAATGGCAACTGGAGAAGTCGTCTTAGATATGGACGCATAGTATATATATGTACATAGTCTGCGCCCCTGGGAGCTGATATATAGAGCTTCGGTACATGTTGCAACTTCTAGCAGGGTGCACACATGTGTGCAGTTTCCCAGGCGCCGTTTAATTTGCTGCGTGTGGCAAATTGCGCCAATTTATTAAGAAATCTAAACTTGTGCAATATAAAATAGTCTTTCAATTCTAGACCGGACTGACATTTGTTGGAATTTCATATTTCAAATTTTAGTGCGAGGCGAACAAATTGCGTTTCGCCCTGCTGTCAATGTCAAAAGAATTTCAGCTTCGGTTTTTATTTTGGGTGGTTTCGTGATTTCGTGTACCCTCCAAATCGAAAGCCAAAAAAGTTAAATTATTCATAGCAAAAAAGCAATTTTCACTGCAAAACTTTTGTAAACGCAGTCAAATTGCAATTAGCCTTTTGTTGCTGCGCGCCGTCTTGTAGTTGCACTTTGATGCATGCGTGCCGGAGCCATGCCACGGCACGCCACGCCACGCCAAGCCAAGCCAAGCTAAGGCTCGACTCAAATTTTCTTCTTAGCGCAACTGACAGCAATTTTCCAGTTGTGAATTATGTGAAATTTGTTGGCTGCCATGGCTAATGGAAATGATTGCCAGCTAAAACGCAATGCCCAGCCGGCGGGCGGTTCGACTCCGTTTGCTGTTGTTCCCGCTGCCTGTCAGTTGGCTTTAATTTAATTTTGCACACGAATTATAAATGAAATCAGCTACAGAAAAAACAGGAACAACAACAACAACATAGAACAAAAAGAACAAAACATGACCAGCAAAAGTTGAGAGTGAGAGAAAAGTGAAGTGAGGGGCCTGTGACGCAAACAAGCGCAAAGAAATGTAAACAATTCATTGAATTTGCAATTACACGCACATTTGGCGCACACACACACACACACACTTACACACAGCGGTGCGTGTAATGTTTGTTGTTTACTTTTAAAATGTAAAGGCTACCAGCTATATAAACTCCTCTTGTTTTATTTATATGGAATGTATCTCCCAGATACGCATCATATATCCGTGCGTATGGCAAGTGTGTTGGATTGAGAGCCAGGGCTGCTGGGGGGCCTACAGGATGGGAGCCTGTAACGACGCCATTTAATGTTTGCACACATCATGACCCGCGATACGCTTTTGTAATCACAAACCAATTGTGAATACAATATAAAAAACTCCACATTCTACATACACATAAGTGCAAATGAATATCGTGTCGTATATTTATATATTCCTGAAGTAAAGCCTGAACTTTAAAATTTTACAATAGTTATTATAGGTAGTCTTTGTCGATTTTTAATTCAAATGAAATACCTAATACCTGGTATCAGTTAATACGCAGAAGTGTCGAGTTAACCCATCAATCTAACAACATGATGCTTAATGAAACTTGATTTAAGAATCAATATATTGAATTCATTGATTTTTAACATATTTTTTTAATACTAAAGGCAATTCAAGCTATTTTCTTGGTAAGACAAAGGCTCTCGAATATTTCCCTATATATTCTCCCAATTAAAATATTTTTTTATTTACAGCATTGTAATTGACTAACAAGAAAATAAGAATTTTAGTTTTTATTGTTATTACTTATTCCATTAATTTCTCCGCCTTTTTTTTCTCGCTTTTCAATTTCTTGCTACTGCATTTGAACCAGCAACTTCTCGCTTGTGAGTCCGACACAAAGACATCTAAACCTCACAGGCTCATGAAGATTTGTGGGTGCGTTGTTTTTGATGTCTTTGAAACAAACTTTGACCTGTGTTTTCCCCCACTTCAACCAAAAATCTTCTGTAAAAATATTGGCTTTCTAGACCTTGCTGTTTAGCCTTTGTCAGTCAGGAAACATTTTTTTCACTTCAAGGTTTCAAAATTAGCCGAGACCTGTGAATACAGAATATCAAAGGAATGTAATATCAATATTCATACCGCACACTTAGCAAGCGTGGATCGCAGCATTTAAATGATTATAGTCCCATCAGAAACTTTTACATTTTCAAGATGCTTAAATTAAAAACAAATAAATTTATTAGTGAGAAAAATAATAATTTGTAATTTTCAATTTACTATTCCGATTACCGCCAATCTCAGCCCATGGGAACGTTAAAGTTTGAGATGTCCCAATTTATTGAAAATGCAGTGTGCATTTCAGTGTACCCAAAGTTGCTGCAACTCGGCATGATTAATGACCAGAAGTCATTTCAATGGCTAGACTCTGGGTCAGGCTCAGGCTCAGGCAGCGGCAGATGTTCAGATGATCAGAGGATGGCGATGGGTTCTTGCTGAAGTGTTAAGCAATTATAAGCAAAGGCCTGCAAAACATTAAGAATCTCTGGCAGACGTCAATCACCAGACGAGCTCGGACTGAACGCAAGTGCATAATGGAAACATTTTCGCCAGTCGACGTGCGCATAAAGGCCAAATTAATAAAATCAGATAGAGAAAACACAACAAAAATTTAATAAAAACTGCGAGACACAAGTGCAACATACGTAAGGGGAGGCTAGTGCGAGTGCGTCAGGCGGGGGTGGCGGGGCAAATAAGATTAATGATTGCAATAAATCCAGTGACAGACGGGCAGACAGACACCACGCTAATAGTGCCACCAGCAAGGACACAACGGATACTCTTCGCCGCTGCTAATAATGCGCAAGTAAGTTCAAGAAATCGGGCCAAGCTTATGGCCCACCAGCAGGCCATCTCAGCCCCCATGTGAGCCAGGACTAACGTACCATTACGCTGATTAACACACGCGTCAGCGCCGGCAGGGGTTGGTCCTAGTCCGCAGCTCATACCCCGGTCCCTCTCCCTGTCCCTGCCCAGACCAGACCACCACTACGACTCCTGCTGATAACGTCGCACAACATGCCATAAGCTGCCCGGCTGCCGGGTGCCGGCTCCGATTGCCGCCTGTGGACAGTGGATTGCTCATTTGGCCGTGTCCGTGCAGGCGCAGTCTCTGGCCCCGTGGGGTGTGCACGCAAAGGATGCGAGCAAGAGAAATTCATCATCTTGCTGTGCCGCTGGTGCCATATCCTTAAATCTAATTACGACTTAATCGACGCCAGTGGCGACAGTTGCAACGAAATCGAGCAACCGTTACCAACCACCAAGCCACCCTGGACAAGCTTATGCCGCTCAATTGATAAAGTCAAACCGTGGGCACAGGGACAACAGGGACACAGGGCACATGTGCTTGCTGCTGCTGCTACTGCTGCTGCTGTTCCTGTTACTGCAAATCCTGCATCCCCCGATGATGCTCGCCAACTGTGTCGCTTACATGTGTTAATCACAGCCGGCGCTGCCGACGCGTCGGGGGCTCTTTTGTCTTTTAACCAGCTCCGGCGCATTGTTAGTTTTAATTGCCAAAAAAGTGCTTTCAAACAATCTCACCAACATCAACAACAAATACAGTGGCCCAATCATTCTGCTAACTTAGGATCCGTGCTCTGATCTCCGATATTGTTATGTCCTGTGTTATTAAATATTTAGGTTGATCTACCTACGATAATAATAATATTCACACTGTTATGTGCTACATGGAGATTCAACAGGCTGTTTTATGCAAGCAATTGTACACCATTTTTTAAATTTTCAGCGAGTGGTAAAAGAGATGATTGCGTGACCAATTTGTATCTCAGATGAAATTTTACATTTACTTTTCCCAATTTTGGTCTATGATACGTATTAACCACGTCCTAAAGTATTTGTCAAAAAGATCTTTGAAATATAGTTTTAGCCCGTTCGGATGAAAACCAAAAGGTTCTATACAATCATTTCCATAAATCTTACACAATTGTGATTTTTCCAAAAGTGTTAAAGTGTTCGTCGACCACCGGTCAGACAGTCAGACTGCCAAACAACCAGTCAGACGGTCAGAAAATATATATCAATTTATAGTAAATAAAATAACATTATTATTAGAAGTCAGGAATAACAGTGCTTAGCCTGTATCTCATTCCTGACTTGTCATAAGTAACGGTAGGCATAAGTGTTCGAAACATGTCGGAATAAATGGACTATAGATAGGAATCTCTGCAAAGCCTGTACGGTACCGCTAACATATTTACAGTGTATACACAAGTGTTGCTTGTTGGCCTATGAAAGGAAGCGTCAACATTTGGCGTTAGTTTTGTTTTGCATACTGTCCTGTCCGTTGTCCACTGTTTATTGTCCATTGTCTGATGTCCGTTGTCCATTGTGTTGGCTTGTCTCAATGCCGCTTTTGTTTTCTAACACCCGCAGCTACACACACACATGTGCTCATTGTGTACGTGCGCATGTATGTGTGCGAATGGGCTGGTGGTGTGCGTGCGAGCAAATACCGTTGCATACGTGTGGGCGTAAATGAATAAAATGGCTCGAGCCACCGAAAAACGATAAATTCAATCGAAAATCGTTACATGTCAATGCATTAATCGGCCATAATCCCATTATGGCGCAAGGATATGCCGGCAGTCCTCTGAATGTCTCTCCCACTCTTTCTGTTATTTTCTCTCACTCTCTGCCTCTATATCTACATCGATGTACAGCGCGTGAAAAATATTGCTACGCATCCTATTGTTGTTGTTGCCGCTGTTGATGTTGTTGTTGTTGTCGCCTGCGTGTCGCATTTGATATTCATGCTCGCGCATGTTTTGTTGTTGTACTTTTTGTTTGCCTGTTTGATGTTTGTTTTGTGCTTTCCGAACGGTTTTATCTGCGGCTCAGCGTCCGCGCATTTGGCAATGCCGCCGTCACGTCGAACCGCCGCACCACTGCACCGCTTCACCGACGCAACCACCGACGATGGCGACGCATTTGACAAATGGCTTCTGTTTCAGGACTGCCAGGACAGAGATCTGGGATTGGGCTTGGTAGCTTTGCCGGGATTGGAGGCTTGTGGTGTTGCCAGATGCTCAGCAATTGCATTTTGCTTTCATTGTTGTTTTACATGTGATAAAAATTCCATCTATTGTGCTCGCATTGCATTATACTTATTTACCTTGCATTCCCAGGTCCATGGCATTTTGGCATTTGCAGCAATGAAACCATCAGCACCAACAACAACAAACACTACAGCGGGAGGGACAATTGCATATCTGTAGGCAATATATGAGTGTATATAAAATAATATGCCTTACAATGAATACTATATGATGAATTTGTAATACATTTCTTTGAAAAACTTGTGACAAAATAACACACATCGTCGGGCTCTGCTGATATAATAAAATATTTCGTTGTCACAATACGAACAATTATCTTTCAGAAAATGGTTCTAAATACATAATAATATTACCGAGCTAGGCACATAAAATATTTAATTTTAAAAGTACATTTAATAAAAAACTGGCTGTTTCAAATTTTAGATATACCTTATTTACTGATTTTCAGTCCATTGATAATTTGTACTTTTATTTGTACTATTTCAAGTTATATTCGACATAGATATTTGACATTTGGTTTGTGGCCCATCAAATTAAGCGCCAAATATTGGAATCAAGATTATCCTTTTATTTAAGTGCCGTAGGGAGAGGGAATTTCCATCCAAGATGGGTGAATTTTGCAAAAGGTTTCAAACTTTTCAAAATAAGTTTCACCCTTTCAACCTTTGATCCGTATTATCCACCCAGATAACCAGGACTTTCCAAAAAGCGAGAGACACGCATCAAATGAAATTTCATAAAGGTATTTAAAAATTAGTTTGAAACTAATCCTGGTAAACAGAATTCTTTCATTCAACAGTTTTTCCGGCAATTTTTGACATAATTTCCAAAACCAGGTACTGTAGCGCCAAGTTTTCTAACAAATCGAATATATTAAAAACAAGTAAGAGGTTCTAGTCGGGAGCTCCCGACTAGGAAAAACCCTGAACTCTCTTATTCCAACACCAACTGCAGCTCATAATACAGATAAATTAAAAAAAAAAAAGTTCCCTTAGCCGGGTTCGAGTTCGGACTCGTAACTGACCGCATTACTTGCTGCCGACTCTACTCAACAGCCCTCGGCAGGGCTCGAACTTGTAAACTGACCCGCGCTACTTTCCGCCGCCTCTACCCAACACCCACACCATTCATTAAGTCTTATTGAGAAAAAACCGAATTAAAATAGCACCACAGGAAACAATACAATCGCAATTGCAATGCTGTTGATAGAATTCGAAGCAGACGCGCATGAATGTGTGTGTGCATGAACATGTATACAGAAATTCTTGGAATTTGCGATTGCTGTCCCAAACTCGAGGCCAGTAATAACATGCTTTATTTAATAACTTCTGTGTCTTAACCGAACTTGATTAAATTTTCTACATCTTATAGTACTATAGAATATTTGTGTATTATCAAAAAGTGAACTGCATTTAAATTGTGGCTTATATTGATGGGCAGCATAAATTGGTGTTTTTACTTGATTTATAGCTATGAGGTAGAAGCGATGAGGTGGTGGTAGCTATAACATGAAAGATGCTTGATATATACATACTATTTAAGAAGCAACATATCAAGTTTGGTGACTCTAGCTCTTATTATCCCGATATCGATTTTTATCGATTACTTGGAAACGGGGCAAGTTATCGAATATCGGAAACAAACTCGATCTGCGCGGGCACTAAGAGGACCTACAGTTAAAATTTTAAATTTCTCTAGCTCTTATAGGTTCTGAGATCCTTGCTTTCATACCTACGGACAGACGGAGGAACAGACAGACGGACATGGCTAGATCGACTCGGCTATTGATGCTGATCAAGAATGTATATACTTAATGGGGTCGGAGATACTTTCTTCATCCTGTTACATACATTTGCACAAATACATTATAAACCCTTTTACCCATTTTCAATGGGTTCAGGGTATAATAAGTAAAGGAAAGAAAGAGTACTCTTGTCGGGACAGTCCGACTAAGATATACCATAAGCCCAGTGCCAAGCTGCCATTGCAAAAACTATGGCATCCTACTATACATGTATGCAAACAAAAAATACATATGCACACGTACACTCACCACGGCTGTGCTTTTTATACAGCATTGCAATTGCGATTGAATATGCGATTTTTGGTGTGGCTCTTGAGTAGAGGCGGCGGCAAGTAGCGCGGTAAGTTGCAAGTTCGAACCCTGCCAAGCGCGTAGCGCGAGCTGCATTTGGTGTTGGAAGAAGTGGGTTCGGGGTATCCACTAGTCGGGAGGTTCCGACTAGAACCTCTTACTTGTTCTTTCTTTTGAACCGCACTTTTTATGGGAAATGAGCTCTTGGTAAACAGACATGTCTTCTTAATCTGTATATACGAGAAGCTACATACCAAATTAGGTGTGCAAAAAAAAAAAATTCTCGTGATCTATTGTAATGGGAGCAGATATCGAAGAAAATATAAGCACTTTCTGCGTATAGTATATGAGCCTTTATATTTCAAATTCCCAGACTTTGGTTTTTAAACTATCCGAAGTGTTCGCACAGACCGTCAGTTAGACAGACATGCCTAAATCGAGACAGCTGGTCGCACTAAACAAGAAGTATGCTGCCTATTACATACATTTGCACTCAAATGTGTACTTTTTTCTTATAATCATGAAATCAAAGCAAAGAGAATTCATGAAAAGCAAAGTGTGGGTAATGCTACTTCCGGCGAAGATATTTTGATTTAATTTTCACAGTTAAAATATTTATTATTATTTGTTAGCTTAAAAGATTTCACTTAACTTCAACAAAAAATCGGGTGTTTATTTTTTTAATTTGTATGAATAAATATCTTATTACGGAATCTTGTCAGCATACGGATATTAAGGCTATTATATCAACTAATATAGTCAAAATCGTGTATCAAAAATGTCAACGTAAGCAAGATAAAGATAAGTATATAGAAAAGTTAAGACATTTGTACGTTTTCAATATTAAAACACACGCCGTGGGGACACACACATGTGCGAAAATTTATTAATATATTTCAACGAAAGCTGCAACTTGAACTTGGCCCCATGTCATATATCAGAAATCATAAGCTCCACACGATAACTAATAAAAAAGAACCATGAAATTGTAATAATTCCAGCAAACCGAAAAACACGGCCAGGCAGCTTCGTGTTTGGGCCAGATGAGGATGGGGCTGGCTGAAGAAGGGGATGGGGCAACGGATGAAGCACGACGACATTTGAACGCATAAAAATGCCAAAACCGGTGCGGCGTTGTGCCTTGAGGCCGATTTTTGCTACTTTATATCCACTTTATATGCTCGCAGGATATCCCAATTACTTTGAGAGTCACAAACGCACACGCACAGAGAGTCACATACAGATATGATTCGAAGCGTGTGTGTGTGTGTGTCTGTGTGAGTGTATCGTATTTCAAGTCATGTGCGAATAGAACTTAATCTGCAACAAAATGTCGCCAAAGGTGGTTGCTAGGACGAGGCCGTGTGCTCTAGTGTCTCTGTAAGATTACTTTCTATATTTTCTATCGTCTTTTACTTTGGCCAACATACAATTGTGAGCGAGTGTGTGCGTGTGTGTGTCTGCTCCATATAGCTACATAATTTTTTTCTCATACTCGGAACGTTGCCTTCGGAGGATTTGTGACGGGATTTCCTTTTCTATTATTGGCATTAGGCATGTCCTGTGTGTGTTATGCATTTAAATTGCGTATTTTTCCTAGCGATTTGTCTGCTTATCGCCGGGTCGTAGCAAGCATGGGGCGAGGCGGGTGAAAGGGGCTTTGAAGGCGGACTAAAATTTCTTAATGTTTATGGGCGCAACGTTTTTCATTAAATTTTTGTTTTCTTTTGGTCCGGCTTAGCAAGCTGCTCAGGATGCAGGATGAACCTGACTCTAACTAGTTTACGATGCCAGCTGAAAATATGGCAGTATACTGTGCGTTTCATATTGTCCGCCAAGCTGCCTGATCCTTGAAATCCTTTTTTTAAATACAAAGCAAATTTTATATAATTTTAAAACAAACAGTCGGCCGAATGGCCATCCTGGCATGCTACATTACACCCACACACACCCACACACACACAGACACGCACAGAGTTGGGGATAAGTAGACTGAGGAGACCCGCATTATCCTTTTATCCGTCGAGTGCTTGGCCAGTGCCGGCCACGTTATCAGAGACAGCAGCGACCGCAGCAAATTTTCAACCCTTCTCATTAGAGGATTTTAAAGGATAAAACGCGACGCTAGCCGCTCTGTTGTTGAGTGATACTTTGCGTAAGTCGCACCAGCAGTGGGAGATGCAGTAACGAAGCTGCTACTCAGCCGCTGGCTATTTGGTCAGCAATAGTTCTTGTCCTGGTCAGCTCTTGCTACCTCCTGCTGCTGCTGGCTTCAAATGTGAGGGTTACATTTCCGTGTTTGTTTATTCAAACGGAAGCAAAGTCGTTCTGTTATAACGCCGGTGCCAGCAGCCGAGAGCCAAACCCCCTGCCGGCAACAACTACATCTACATCTACATTTACATCCACATCCTTTGCTCCCTTTGTTGGGCATATCCTTTCACTATGCCTGCCTCTACTGTTGCTGCTGTGTGCATGCAGGCGATCAAAGCTCAGAGCAATTAATCATTTTGTTTGCCCTTTACACCCATTTATTCAGCCTGAACGCCCCAAAGAGCGGGCAACTTGCACATCGAAGAGCTGAGGCTGGCACTAAGCCGAACCAGGGGGCATCGCCTGATGATGTGCCCGCCCGTGGCACCTAAGCAGCACTCAAATGGATGCTGGCATCAATCTCCTGCCTAAGCAACATTTTTGGCGCTCATTTTGCTGTCGCGCACAAAAATCACAAAACCAACACACTATGTACACACGCTCGTAGTTTTTCATCTTTGACGCAATTTGAAATCGTTACGGAGTCACATCCCTTGGAACAGTGGCCGGGCGATGGCATCCCGCCCATTTTCGTCCCATGGCCCGCTCGTGTCCGACCACGCGCTGACTACACTTTGGCGTCGTGGTCGTACATTGAAGTGGGCGTGGGCATGCTTTTTACACTAATGGGGGCGTGGTGTGGCAGTCCTGATGCCATAATGAGCTCAATTCTCAAAGAATGCTGTTGCGGAGCATTCTTCCTATCCCAATGCCAATCCCAATCGCAAGGTTCCTACCCCAAACTGGCGTCAATTATTTCATTGTCGTTTGTGTTGTGTCTGTTGTTTTTGTTATTATTGTTGTTGTTGTTGTATCTGTTTTGTAACTGATGACGCTGCTTTTCGTTGCGTTGAAATGTTTGTGCTGATTTTGCATTAAGCGATTTTGATGTCAATGTCTTTTTTCCCGTTGTTGGATCATGAAATCGTATCCTTTTTGTTGTTGTTATTGTTATTTTTTTTCTGCGTAGTTTGACAAATTTGACAGCGTGTACGTTAATAGTCAGGGAATGAGGAAAAACAATAGGGTGACAGTTAAAAATAAATGCAACTAATTGAATAAATGGCCCACATCGATCTGTCCGAATAATATGAGTTGGATTTTCTCTCAAATAGCTAGCACGTTACTACATATTCTTTTTTACAAAATGTTTCAAAACGTTTTTAATTGTAGAAAAAACTATTAAGAGTTGTTGATATTAATTAGTGTCAAAAAGCGGCAAAAAATATCATAAAAAAAAAAAATTCGTATGCATTTCCTATTCCAAACTTGCACGAATGCTATCGTTGTGAGCGGTCGACTCTGAGATACCCTGAACCTTTTTTAATCAAACGTAAACAATACACTTTTACATATTTAATGGGTAACAGTACATAGACTGAATTTTTAAAAACAAATTTAAGTAAAAATAATAGATTTTTCTTACTATCGCCTCACAACTTACATACCTCATAGCAAGTATATATGCATATTCAGAAATATTTGCACTTTGCACTAGCTGCCACGCGGCTTGTCAACGTTTTCTTTGTCAACTTCCTTGCTTTTAAACCAATATGCATAACAATTTATGAAATAAATCCTATTGCGTAATTTTTCGCACACATACATTGTTCGTAAACAGGCATCAGCCTTAGCATTTTTATTTCAACTGAATTTCAATTTTCAACTGAAATTGTGATTTATTTGTGATTTGGCGTGTTGAGATTTTTTTCTTTCAAAGCTATAAATTTCCACACATAAAACTATTCGCCCGGACTGAATGATTGCTGACAACGCACAGTCCATATCATAGGGAGTCGAAATTATTACTGAAATTACTGAAGTTCACGCTAAGATGAGGTATAAAAAGTTCGCGCCTACATGAGAAAATTTAGTTTACCGTCTAATCGACTGCAAAATTAATTCCAAGGACTAGTTGAATAACGATTGCTGCATTTCGAGTCTATGATATTGAATTCAATCCTTATCCGATTTAAACAGGTTAGGTTTACCACTCGTGACACCTATGCCGACAATATTGTGTGCCACTTGTAATTCTTGATCAAAGGCGTAGTCAATAAGGCCAGGACTGTTCTGGAAATGTTCAAACGATGTTCCAAAAAGTTATTAAGACAAAATTGAATGTGCGCAAACACAATTTCTATCATATGCTACTCGAGAATTAAATTAGGATCATGGTGTTAATTTGCCGTCATATTTAAGTAGACTCCTGAAAATAATATTTCCTCTTTAAATAATCGTAGGATTTGCTGTAGTGCACAGTTGATCCTAATGTCTCAGTACTGTAATATATCCGGGAATGCACAAATTATAAATTCAAATATATATTTAATTCTCGTTTTCATTGATTTGAATTCATACTTTAACACAATTTCAACATTCTTAAGAAATCAATAAGGCCACCGGAGTGGTACAATCCGAATTCTGAAATTCTTTTTAGCAACACTTCCATTTTCATCTAAGCCTCGTTAATAACTTATAAAGCTGCCACAGCAGCATAGCTGTTTTATTGTCACGCATCACGCATTCGTATACACGCACACCATCCGAATCCTTGCTATCCTTTCATTTCAGAGCTCTATTTGTTCCCGCACTTTTTGCGCTTCTTTCAGAAACTGTCACATTTCAACTCACATTTTTATTTATTACATTTATTATGAGAAATTTTTGCATGCGCGCTTACGCAAGTGTTGAAATGCAATAAAAGTGAGATGCCAAGCGGCAGACCTTCCCCCACTCATCCTGCATAAAGCGTCAGCCCTACCAAGCCGCCGCCGCCTTTACCAACTGCATGAATATGCGCGCACCTTTTTTGCTCACTTTTTATTTATATTTTTACTTTTTTTTCTCGGTCCGCAATTCGCATAATTTTACACACGAAGTAATTTTGCAACACCCCACGCAGACACTTGCAACTCCTTTTGAATTTTCACACCAATTTTTCAACTCGACAAACCCGCTCGCAAAAAATCCATTTCATATATGAATGTATGGGAAGAAAAGTGCAAGGGGGCAGGTGGAGAAGGCAGCCTGTCGACTTTCAGCGCTACGCCATAGGAAACGCACGCTGATGTGCGAGAAAAATACATCCGCCCGGTTGGAGCAGCCCTAGAATCCTCCATTGCCATCGCACATCCCCGTTGCCCCTGCCCATGGGCAGCTCGTTGGTTGGCGGCTTCGTCTGTTAGCCCAATTTGAATGCGCTGGCGCATATATCATTCCAGTTGACAGGACAATTCTCTTATCTGCGCAAAGCCAACACAACAGCCGCGACCACAGAGTCAGAGCGAAAGCCAGAGTCAGATTCAGAGTCAGAGGCAGAGTAGCCCTTGTCGCGTTGTCCCAGAGAGCGGATTTGAACGCGGTTCATGTTCAAGCTAAATGAATATTTAAGCAGAAAAATCTCATGCCCATCAATGGACAAAATGGTCAATGGCCGATGGCCAATGCGTTGGCCTTAAAGCGACCACCGCTTTTGATGAAGTTGCCGTCACAACAGCCATCTATTAGAGACTCGTACGTGTGCCCCAAAGACAATCAAAATTAACGGTGGGCGTGCAGCTCGGTCTGGTCAATCACAATCGTTCACTTTCCCCCTGGCAACGGCCCTTAACACACGTACATTATACTCGAGTGTGTGTGTGTGTGTGTGTAATTTGTACAAGCTGCTGTTGTCGTCGTTGTCATTAAAAAGCCATTTCCCCCATATATCATCAGAGCCACGCCCATGCCTCTGGTCCAAGTGCTGGCATATAAATTACTTTATGATATTGTTTTGAACCTGCGCGACAAATAAGATTGTCAGCCAAGGACTCGAGGGTTACACCGGGCTGTGAATAGGTCACGCCGTCAGCTGGCAGCATCGAAAATTGAAAGTTCTTGCGATTGGGATTTGGCCAAGCGAACGAAGCGCTTTAACCGCACTTATGGCCCATTTGAATATCCTGTGACCGGGCAATAAAAACGTCACCGACAACTGTCACACACACACCCAGTTTCGTTAAGAGTCTTACTTATCAGAAAGCTGGGCGGGATCGGGGCGTACAGGCATTGTCGAGATGCTTCAGTGTCAATTCAATTTTATTTTCATTGTGTCATAACAATAACATAAAATTAAAATAACATAAAAAGGAAGTTGAGGATGCACAGAAAACAGTTCGCTCCGTGGAAGAGCAACCGAGTTGTCGGCTGCAAATCAACTTGGCGTAAAATTGTCAGGCCGTGTTCTTCTTCCTGCTGTCGTTGCAACAGCTGCTGCTGCTGCTGCTGTTGATATTATCCTTGTTATGTGTATTTCGTTAGTGACATATAAAAAAGGCAACAAAGCACATGAGCTCTGCATAAAACAGGAAACGGAAACACATCAGCGGAACGGAAGTCAAAAAGTCGTCACATTCACATAACAATGATGGCAGCCATATACCCAGCATGCAAGGCATTCCGCTTTGTTTTGCCCGACTTTGAAAAGCAGGAGTTTGAGTGGGAGAAGAAGCGGTTCGCAAGAAGGGGCCACCATGACGTAAGAGCACATTTATTGCGTAAAGTGTGTAACGTAATAATGTCGCCAACAGTTACCAAAAAGCCGGCATCTCCAGCTTTTGGCCGATTTCAGCCATGAGATTCCACCAAATGGCCCCCATTTTCCCCAATTTTGTTGTATCCTTTTTTGTTATTTTCTGACAGCGTTGTTTGGTGTCTGGCATTGTGTCTGTCCTTTCGCCGTTGCAGGAATTCATTTGGAAAATTAATAAAAATATATGTGTACTCTCATACACATACATATACAAAACAGTGGAGCACAGTTACCATTGTCGTCCCCGCTTAAGATGATATTATGCGGGTGAGAAATGATATAACACAAAGTGAAAGGCTTTTTAGATTAAATACATCGGGGCTTAACAACAGCCATGGCCTACAGGAATCCGTACCGTAGTAGTAGACCATTAAAAATATTGGATCATAATACTTATACAATTATTATTGACTTTTTGGGCAATATATTCTCTCATTTTGAGTTAAATACAGACAAGTGCCTGGATATTAAACATTAAATCGCACATCTATTGTTCGCATTCATATTGGTAATAGATAAAATTAAGCATATATTACACCTTACAATTACAACTTAGAATCTTAAGAAGCTTTGAATTATATTTAATACACTTAATACTAATATACGCCGAAAACCGATTGGAGTAAAAAATAACATAAAATAGCAAACTGAGTAGCAAAAATACTTTACCAAAAGTAAAATAATCTAAACATATGCATTTCGAAAAACAAAAAAACCAGAGAAATATATATTTTCGAATATCGAGCTAACAAGTCTTATGTAAGGTTGCGGCTTAGAACTTGCTAATAATGTGAATTTAACCGTGCAATAAAGTGGAAGTTAAAGTTACATAGTGGAAGTCGAGGAATAATAGCGCCAGCTATAAGAATATGTTGCATTTTGACAGCTCCCGCTGTCGTGTGGTGAATTAAAGTCGGCATCAAATATTGCCTACTTAACCTAAAGAAAGATGAATACCCGGCATTTTCTGGGAAGTTGCCACTACTCAGAGAGATCGTATTCAAATATGACTGAACAATATGTGGAAAGAACCATTAGCCATGGGATACATTTTAACCAGAAAACCAGGATTTCTTTGGCACGCCGAAAACCCTAGTATGCATTTCCGCTCTGCAGATGTGTGACAATGGTGAAGCTCGTAAATAATGTCTATTGTTCGACATACCTTTTCTATGGCATCTATATGATATAGTTGTGCGATGTTGTTAAGATTCTGTATATATTTAGTAGTGAAACCAATAAATGCCGAGTTTGGTCAAGACATCTTGATAAACAAAAAAAGTTTTTCATACAAGAATCTACTTGTCGACCGATCGTTCCTATGGCAGCTATATGATATAGTGGTCCGGTCTAGCCGGTTCCGACATATGCATATACTGCATGCAACAGAAAGAGGCACTTCTGCAAAGTTTCTAGACGATAGCTTTAAAGCTGAGACTAGTTCGCATAGAAAAAGACAGACGAACATGGCTATATCGACTCAGATTTTGAAACTGATCGGGAATATAAATACTTTATATATAACGTTTCTAAGCGTTACATATTTAACGACAAAATTATAATACATTCTACAAGGGTAAATATAGGACATCATTTTGTTGGTTTTTAAGTAAACTATATGCGCACTATGAACATTATATTCCAATCTGTTTTTCAGTTTAATGAAAATATGTTTTGCATATAATATTACTCTTTTACCTTAAAAGTAGTACTCGCTCATGAAGCACCATAATCAATACTCTCAAAACCAACACTTGGACACTCACACTCACACAGACACATCATTAATGTCAACAATCTGATAACCGCAATTTCCCCAGCAAACTGTAATGTAGACAAGGCAAACAAAGAATTTAAATTTTTCTCAACTAATACGCAGCCAAGCGATATTTTACAACAACAACAACTAGAGAGGTTGTACAATCGGGGACAATTTTTCAATTTCTCAATTTCGTGTGCGTGGCGTATTTAGAATACAATTCGATTAGAAATGCTTTACTTTTCGAAATAATAAATTAAATTTGTTGCTTTCTACGCCTGCTGCTCCATTGCCAATGCCATTAGCACAGTCGACGCGCTTGGCGGATGCTTGGGGGAACACCTCGGAGTGGGGAAGTTCAAGCAACCAGCACAGTTTCTTGACGGGGTGCAAAAGGTTGCGAAATTGCGAGTCTGGCAGCCAGTTGGGAAATTCCTGCGGCAACGGCCTGGAAAAAAGTGCGCCGCATGCGACGGAGAATCAATTTCCTGCAAAACCGAAAGCCGGCATTGAGCCTTAGTCCTGGGCGCTTTCTTAAAATAACAAAATTACTTTTTATATGCAGCCAAGTCAGGATACAGCAGCAGCAACGACAACAAGAACAACAACAGCATGCCATTGACAACCATTAATCATGGACGCCTGTCAGGGCGGGTCACAGGCTGGGTGTGACTGGATGGGGGTAGTCATCGTCATCGTCGTCGAAGTCGTCGTCGTCGTCGTCGTAGTCTGTCTACTGATTGTCCTGCGCTGCAATGTTGTGTTATATTTTTTCCTCTAAACTTTGCCTTTTACATGCTAATGCCTGGCTCTGGGGCTCAAGTCATGCTCGTACCCATGCACAGACACGCCCAGCTGCGAAATTGACAGGCAAACCGAGTGCGTTGTGACATGACACTTGCATGGGAACCAGGGACACAACCAGTAGCAGTACCACTACCAGGACGAGACGCTAGCCGTGGTCGTGGGCGTGCACAGGCTGAAGGCGGCAGACAGGCAGGTTATGTGTACCATCATTAGACGTGGTCCGTTTGCCACGCCCGTCCTGTTGCCCACTGCAAATTGGCAGCTCGGCAATGGACGGCCATGTCATGTCACAGGCTCGAGCAGCAGCAACGGGCCTTGATGGCCGTTCAAAGCTCACTGCGAAAACCAAATTCCAATTGTCAAGATGTTGTTGCACAGCCCAATATGCACGCATGTCTCTATATGTATGCGTGTATATGCCGGACATGTCTAATTGCTCAGTTTATGAGGGCTGCATGTCATAAAGTGCAAATGCATGCCACCCCGCCTAAAAGCAGGCAACAAAACTTGCAGCAAGCAAGCTGCGCTGCTGTTTTGGAGCACGGCCGTGATTTGTGTGCGATATTTGACATGCATTTTCAATTTAGCCGTAGCAGCTTTAAGAGCTACCCGTCCAATAATGAATTCCATTCATTTTGTTTGTCTGCCATCGTCCTGGGCAAAGTTCAGAACCCACAAGCATCGTGACAGAGAAACACCCCCCCATTCTGCCCGCTCACTTGTGCAGGACATGATAAAACTTTATGCACTGCAACGGCCAGCATTGACATTTCAAGTGCTGGCGCTTCGCTGGATAGAGGCTCCTCGGAAGAGGTTCACCAAGACTGGCGCCATCAGAGAACATAGTTTTAATAATGCACAAGACGACGACTCCAACAGAAAGAAGCATAAAATGCAGGACATACGAGAGCTTCGATGCGATGGCAACGGCGGAGTGCACAAAGATAAGATCCGGACCGTCCAAGTTCCGCCCAGCACTCGTACAGCCAGCCAGCAACAACAACAAGGTCCCCGGGTTACAGAAAAGGTGGCAAGATCCAGCAGCAAACATAGATGGGCAATGCTACTATGTATATTCGATGTCAAAATGAATACTTTTGCATTATTTATGCCAGCGCATTTATTTGTTGTCCTGATAACGAAGTGAAAAGAGCGCAAAAACTCGATGAATTCTTTACAAAGTCCAATGAGAAATACCAAATGACCCTTTAATAAATGTATTTGATTTGTTGCTTAACCACATAGACGCAAACGAAATTTGACTAAAAAGAAAAAATATTATTATTAAAAGCAGTCCTCGGTACATAAGCTGCTTAAGCGACCCACGCATCTTTGCAAAAAGGATCCTGGTTTCAACCCAAGGCCATTATTAGACAGTGTTTGTATTTCCTCAACGTCGTACTTTTATTCCTTAAATAAATGTAGAACAAGTTAGAGGTTCTAGTCGGGAGCTCCCGACTAGGGGATACCCTGAACCCTCTTATTCAACACCAAATGCAGCTCGCTGATAGAATTCAAAGCCGACGCGCATGAATGTGTGTGTACATGTTTACAGAAATTCTTGGAATTCGCGCTTGCTGCCCCAAACTCGAGGCCAGCAATAACATGCTTTATTTAATAACTTCTGTATTTCTTAACCGATCTTAATGAAATTTTCGACAGTACATCTTATTGTGCCATAGAATATTTGTGTATTCTTAAAAAGTCAATTACATATAAATTGTGTCTTAAACTAGTAGGGAATACAAGATGGATTATTAACTTGATTTATAGCTTTGTTGTGGTAGCGGGGAGGTGGCGATAGGAAAAAAATGAAAGATACTTGATATATATATAATATTCTAGAAGCAACATATCAAGTTTGGTGACTCTAGCTCATATTATTTACCAAAATTGCTCAAAAAACACGATTTCGATTTAAATTTTTATCGATTAATTGGAAACGGGCAAGTTATCGAATATCGGAAACAAACTTGATTTGCGCGGGCACTAGTAGGACCTACAGCTAAAATTTCACGTCTCTTATAGGTTTTGAGATCCTTGCGTTCATACATACGGACGAACGGTCGGACGGACGGACGGACAGACAGACGGACATGGCTAGATCGACTCGGCTATTGATGCTGATCAAGAATATATATACTTTATAGGGTCGGAGATGCTTCCTTCTGCCTGTTAAATACATTATACCACAAATACATTATAACCTTTTTAACCATTTTTAATGGGTTCAGGGTATAAAAATGCTTGAAATAATATTTATTCGTACAAATCAATTAATTAACTGTCTAGGCAACTCTGTCCTTACTAGTCTAAGAAGTAACTAAGTCCCAGAATCTCTTCAATGTTGGTATGCATTAACCATTGTGAAACCCTTCTGATAATTTTAAAAAACATTACAAAGTGAGCTGTTCTACTCCACATCTCTATCTATAAAACTGTTTGTCCTGACCGACTGCTTGACTGACTGATTGGTGATCAACGCACAGCCTATACCGTAAAAGCTAGGAAGCTGAAATCACTGTAGTTACCTTATATGATGAAGGTGCACGGTAAGACGGGGTTTCGGGAAATTCCGCCTGTATGTGTGGAAAAATCGCGAATATCGTGTATAAAACTTTTTTCTTTACCATCCGATCGGCCTTAAAAT